TTCAGCCTCGCCCCTTCTCTGCAGGCTAACCTCCCATAGCTTAGACAATCTCTGTCAGGTTTCGGTTCGAGAACGAGGTTCATTCCCCCATCGCCTAGATCGGTCTGGGTGGGACTGGCACCATTGTAACGATGGGAACTTATTCCAGATGCAGATTTTCTCCCCCCTATGTTGGCGGGTTTTATTATTTATTTTATTATGTAGTAGTAGTAGTAGTTTTCCACGGCCTTTTTTCGCCGGATGTGTCGGAAGGAAGGAGGGCTAAACCTCAGCCCAAAGCCTTGCATCCCTATTGTCTTGCGAGAATTCGTCGGAGGAGGTGAGCTGTGCCAAGGATTGCGCTTTTTTGTATGAAAGTCGGGTTCAGTGATGGAGCATTTAACTTCTTCAGATGGCACTGGAAATCCTTAAGAACCACTCCTGTTGCTCCGACAATGATGGGGACGATGCTGGTCTTGGTGCCCCACATTCGTTCCACTTCGATTCTGAGGTCAGTGTACTTTTCCATTTTCTCCCTGGTTTTCTGTTTGAGGTTGGAATCCGCTGGTCTCTAGGACACTGATCTCTATTAATTTGGTGGTCTTTGTTGGCTTATCGACTGCTGCAATGTCAGGTTTATTGGCCCTGATCGTCCGGTCTGTCTGAACTGAACATTCCATAGCAGTTTAACTTTCTCGATTTCTTGAACTGCGGCTGGCTGATGCTGGTACCTACGTTCGGTGGCAGGCATTCCACTGTCCTTACAGAGGCACCAGTGGACGTACCTGCCCACATTGTCATGACGTTCTATGTAGGTGTTTGCAGCTAGCGCTGGACACCCACTCACAATGTGGTGTATCGTCTCTGGGTGTTGCTGACANGAGCTTTTTTTATCTTGACCCCATTAATCTGTCTGGAAAATGAGGATAACAGATGATGAAGTGTCCGTGCTCATTGATTCCTATAATGAGACAATGTGAGACATATGGCAAGGTACTAGACATTCCTGTGCGGGACTATTCCAGGGAAAGGGAGAAGGGCACTTTTGTGTACTGTGAGAAAGCGAGATTTACGTCTCCATCTCGTGGCAAGGAAGACAACTTTACAATTCTTTAAAACTTGTCCATGTTGTATCAGAATGTTGTCGCTACGTTGTCGATGTCAAGAGTGTCAACATTCTCTCAATGTTGATAGCAAATGTTGCAATGACATTCGTAGAAGTGTCGCAGCAACATTCCAAGTGAAAACATTGAAGCAATGTTTTCTCAATGTCGTACAGCAACTTGCAACATCGAGCAACATAGGCAACATTTCGGAAACGTTTCATCAACATGCTGTGTTACTTGGGATGTAGGAACAGGGTTCACCTTCAAGTACACATTCGTGAATAAGAATTTCTTCTCCGACCTGCTCAAGAAATGTCTGGAGAATAATTATATCCAAATAGGGGACAACATTTTTAGGCAATAGATTGGAATTCCCATGGGAAGCAACTACTCAACCAACATGGCAAATCTCTTCCTATTCTATTATGAAGCTAGGCACATGAACGAGACGTCCTTTCCAGATGATTACCGTTTCACCTACAGGTACATTGATGACCTCGTAGCGATTAACAATTCCAAAATACAGGCCGAAATCGAGTGCATTTACCCAGATTGCTTGGAATTGGAACAAACGGTCTCGTCCCCTTTCAAATCCGCCCATTACTTAGACCTAAATATCGCAGTTAATGATTCAGAAAGACGCTTCATTACCAGCATCTATGACAAAAGAAGAGATTTCGATTTCGAATTCCTGAGTCTGCCGAATGCAAGTAGTAATATCCCTAGGCATATTATTAAAAACGTCGTCGCATCTCAGTTAAAAAGATACGCAGATATTTGCTCTGAGGCGGACAGTTTCCTCTTCAACAGTTCGCTCTTGCACCAGAGGCTCTTGGATAATGGTTATGAAGAAGATTTCCTTATAAGACTATTTAAACTTTTCTCGCAACAATCCAAGTACGATCTCATCAAATACGCTCCTGAAGGAAATGATCTTGCATCCTTTTTGGAAAAGATTCATGGATATTCCCCTAACTCGACCTGTAAACAGCTCGGATGAGCTGCCCTTGCAGCACAGGAGTGACTGCAACACAGAACCGGTGCAGGAATACTATACCAGTGATTGGGCTCTTTCCCATAGCTTTTGATTCTATTCGAAGAATTAACTCATCCATGTTGTCGGGGTTGGGTTAGGAGGCTTAAGCTCAATGTGCATCGAGGCAAAGGCCCAGTTTAGCAGAGGCAATCTGAGCATCGCTCCATTCTGTCAGCACAGAACACTGTTGGCTGAATTCATGGTAGTTCCCTTCCTCTTTCATTGTAGGCTTGCGTTTCCCTGGCTAACCCCCCTTTTACTTTTTATGGCATAGGCCTGAGTCATTCCAAACCATGCTGGGTTGCGTCCCTTTGGGACCAGTCCCGTCATGAATTTCGGTCACAAGGCTGGTCAAGCCAATTGATAGCTGACAGTGGTGCTGGCAGACGGACTTAAGCCGGATGTGCTTCTGAAAATCTGGGTACTACCTTCCACTCATTTAAGTTCATAGCTTCAGCGCCTAACGGCAGAAACGGTCTGGATAGGGTGTCGTGCTAGGCTTGCAGCCTCAATCCCCTGAAGACGCAGGCTGCATGACAATTTCTGGGATATTTTCTTCACTGTCCTTCCTCTGTTAGCTTCCTTCAGCCTCGCCCCTTCTCTGCAGGCTAACCTCCCATAGCTTAGACAATCTGTCAGGTTTCGGTTCGGGAACGTGGTTCATTCCCCCATCGCCTAGATCGGTCTGGGTGGGACTGGCACCATTGTAACCATGGGAACTTATTCCCGATGGAGATTTACTCCCCCCTATGTAGGCGGGTTTTATTATTTATTTTATTATGTAGTAGTAGTAGTAGTTTTCCACGGCCTTTTTTCGCCGTCTGTGTCGGAAGGAAGGAGGGCTAAACCTCAGTCCAATGCCTTGCATCCCTATTGTCTTGCGAGAATTCGTCGGAGGAGATGAGCTGTGCCAAGGATTGCGCTTTTTTGTATGAAAGTCGGGTTCAGTGATGGAGCATTTAACTTCTTCAGATGGCACTGGAAATCCTTAAGAACCACTCCTGTTGCTCCGACAATGATGGGGACGATTTGACCTTCATCCCGTGATGAACAGTGGTGGCATTCTCCTCAAAGCCCAGATACTTGTAAGTGCTCTGGGCATGGAGTTCATCAAATCTTTCTTGATTGGTGGTCATGATGGGGCCAGTTTCTACTGGCTTCCCTCTGCGAAGAGATAGCTTCGCACATTNTGGTCATGATGGGGCCAGTTTCTACTGGCTTCCCTCTGCGAAGAGATAGCTTCGCACATTTGTCGAGACCAAACCTCATTCTAATGTCCGTGGAGAACATGTCCACGGTATTCAGGAGTCCTTCCAGCTGTCGGTCTCCTGAGGCAAACGGTTTGAGGTCATCCATATATAGAAGATGGTTAACAAAGTGGTTCTCTGTCTTCCCCTTTCCGACGTGGTACCCAACTCCACTGGAGTTGAGCAGCTCACTCAGTGGGTTGATGGCTAGACAGAAGAGTAATGGCGAAAGGGAGTCGCCATTACGAAAAATTCCACAGCAGATTTTGATCTCCCTTGTGACGACTTTGTCCCTTGCCCCTGGAAGAGTTATTGTGGTCCTCCATGTTGGCATAATATGAGTGAGAAAGTGTACAACTCTCGGGCTGACCCTGTATAACTTCAAGCACTGTAGGATCCACGAGTATGGGATGCTGTCGAAAACCTTTTGATAATCTATCCAAGCAACCGAAAGGTTCTTTTTTCTTGATCTGACATCGTCGAGGATCATCTGGCCACTTTCCACTTGTCAGCCAGGTTGGCGAGTTCTTAGGCTCTACCATGATGGCATTCGGTTCTCTGACTAGGTCTTCATGTAGGGCAGTGAAACACTAGAGCCAGAAGTTTGGCACTTGGTCTAAACGTGGTGACTTCCAGTTCCCGGTCTTTTTCAGTGCCACGTTGAGATCCATTATAGTGATGACAAAGTCTTCCATTTCAGTGGTGTTCTTTGCTTTGATATATTGGGCATTTAACTATCCGGCTTTTTCATTTGTAAACGTCGGCAATTCCTAAGGGCAAATTTTGGAGATCGTTGCAGGCTGGCATGGGGAAAACTGCAGTATGGAATGCCAGGCAGGAAGATTCGGCGAAAACTGCTGACGAAATTGCTCTTGCAATAACGGAGCACCGTGCAGTCCTGTCGCAGGTGTTTGCACCAGCACTCCAGGCTTACAGGTACACGATTTTCATATTAGAACCCAATAACGGTACAATTTTTCGCACTCACTATCTCCCCAAATAGGGCCGGCGATGCGAGAGAAATTGTGAACAGCTGAGATTCGGGTGAAATTGCTCCCAAAAATGTGATTGCCAATCAAACTTCACCGAATGCTGCGATCCAATGAATGATTCATGTTTCTGCAGACCTGAATATTACGGTAAAGTTTCATACCCTCAAGTAGCAATAGAGGAAAAAAAATCTGCTTTGGACAGCCGGAAGTTTACTCCAACTGTTTCGAAGCCTACCGGGAAGAAAATTATAGTTGCAAATGGGGAAATCAGCACATTTCCTTCAAAAGTCAATGCAAAAATGCAAAACGGTTATTGGTGCCGCATCAAAATTCGAATTGCTGCGCAAGTGTGCCGTCATCATGCAAGCACGAGTATTTAAATGTGTCGGGACAAGCGTTCCAAATTTCAATGTCTAAAAATTATTTTAACCAAAGATGATGCCCGTTTGATTCATCCCTATTTGCTGGTTATGAATCTGCATGGCACAAGAGCAAATTCAGAGCAACGTTTCACTCGAGCGATCAATTTTCATGATTCATTCTATTGAAAGAGAGAAACACGGTAAACTCAATAGGAAAGAGCGACCCTATCAACTCGTGAAGTGTTTCAACGCACTACAGGTTCGAAGCGTCAGTCTCGATGCGGAAGCGGTCCGGCGAGAAATGCAACGAGCATTGCAAGTGCGGGAAGAACGCAGCGTGCGACCCAGGAGCGGAGAAACGCGTCTGCGAGAACGGATGGACGGGAGCCAACTGCGACGAACCTCGCCCTCCAGGCTCCTACGGGCGCAACTGCGAACAGCGCTGCCCCGCCTCCCAACACGGTAAGGGGTCCCGTCTCGGTCTCATTCGAAGTCGGAAAATTCTGCAGGCTTACTGGAGAAGAAAACGCTCCACGCTTCATTTCCTCGATTATAATTTTGCTTGTAATAATTTTACTTAATTTATCGGACTGCTATATTTCCACAGCTGTCATCTCAATAACCATATGACCTGGCGCTCAATTACCTTTACTTGCTTTCACATATCAGAGAACGTTGAAAAAATGTAAAAGTGACAAAGATGATTCGAAGGTTTTTTATTACAAAAAAAAAACAGTATCACGGCGAGCATGATGTACTTTGCTATGACGGGTGCCGAAATGTTGTATAATGAATATATTGGTAAATCATCACATTTTGGTCAGACCGAGAATTTTTTCTGAACCTCGCCCGAGAAAGTACGTGTACGCAGTCTTGGACGCATTGATCATGAAAGCCCGTGATTCTGCCTCGTAATTTAATATGTAATACTACTAATAATAATAATACGTAATACTGACGATCGCGAGAGACTGACGCTAGTTATAGCCATGTTCTAAAAATAAAAAGAGGATGAAACTTGGAAGACAAATAGCTGTTAGGTTGCAGACTCCAGAGAAAGTCCGCTTCCTTAAAAGTAACGGGAATATGGATATAGCTGTTGGGCTAAAAATAAACTCATGCTCTGGGGGAGAACTGATTTCGCAGGCCGAGGCCTTGCCCAAAAAATGGAACCTCAGGGTTTTCATGCGCTCTCTTCCCTTCAGGTAACGGGAGGAGGTTTCTATCTACATATGAGTTCGTATCGTGGCCACACCCGACCCGAAGCTCGATCGCGGGACCGAATTTTACCGCGCGTCGCGTCGGGCCGATCGGCCCGCTTAGGCCTCTATTCCTTCTAAGGACTCGAGTTCTCCGGGAACTCGACTGCGGGCCTAGCCGCATGCCCGGTCCGCGGGTCGGTCCGATTCGATCCACATCCCGTGCACGGCTCCAATTCCTGGAAATTCAAACGGCGTGTCTCAATTGAGTGCTGCAAATCCCGAATGAAAGTTTGCATGCATGCAATCGAGGTTTCCGCGGCGATGGAACGCATAATCTTTCCAATTCTGGGAAATAAAATTGGCTGGTAAATGTTATTAATGGAATATTGAGCATTTATTATTATCGATAAATATTATCAATGAAGAGAAATTGGGGATCTCATTTTAATATTGTGGAACGGAACGTTCCAATTCTATTGATCCGAAATATTGCTGTTTAAAATTCCAACAGACTCATTTGAACGCTACGGGATCGTGGATTAAATGAGGAAGACTTGAACGTCTCACGGATAACAGCTAGTTTATTTATATTCGGTATTTATATATTAGGTGATATGATCCGCTGCAGAGCCTCGCTTTGTCAATAGCGGCTGGGACAAGTGTCTCCTTATCCGGGATCAGGTTTAAATCTGAGGATTAGGCTGATCGTGGTGCTGCGAGACGACGCGAAGTGAATTTTTCCTTTCCCGATTTCTTGATTTTTTTTTTTCCTTCTCTGAAATGTCCCGTTTTCGGGGAAGTGCGACGAGATATTTCACTGCGTGCAATTCAGATTCCAAGACGTTATCAGGTCGGATAAGCCCTTTGGCTTATCCTTCCCGGATGGGAAAAGGATGATCCAGTGAGTCACGCACGACTTCTCTTGTCATCCCCTTCCGCGGAAAATAAAAGGAGCTCGCACTTCCGCTGATACGCCAGACTTCTTCAGAATCCACAGGAGTCGTCGCCTTTCGTCGCCTTTCGTCGCCATTCGTCGCCATTCGTCGCCTTTCGTCGCCTTTCGTTGCCTTCGGCTTCTCTCTGTGAGTGCGTGCGTTGTGTCTCGAATGGGTTCGGTCCGCGTTTCATCGTTGCATGAGCCTTCCTTGAATCTTGCTCAGCCTTGCTGAGATCAGCTTCAAGAAGGGCCGATGTATCATGTATCATATGTATCTTGCTGCACTGGTATCACAATCCGCAAACCGGCCGAAAGTGAAATTTTCGATGATATCGCAAAAGGTATTGAAGACATCTATTCCGAGAAATTCCTGACTTTCTTTTTTTTTTTTTACATCTCTCTACGCTTTTTCAGTTACCCAGTTTGAATATTTGCCGGCGCAAAATATGTCACGTTTTTCGGCACGCAAAATTGTCCCTTTTTTTCATGAGTGAATATCTCTCGTAAATGAAAAGCGAATGGAATTCGAAATATGTGCGGATTTCAAATGTCACATGTTTCCCTTCACAAGGTTTCCCGTTTACCCTGGGATCAACCGAATCTTCTCAAAAAGTCAGGATCAAAGGAGCAATTAGTGGAAATAAATTCTTCTGATGAAGCGAGGAATTCCTTGGAATTAATTAATTAGGAATTAATGATGGGCTGGGAGATAGGCTCGAGAGAGAGGATTAATTGGCCCATATACTTTAAATGTACGTTTAGCCTTGACACTTACCACATATAATTATAGAAACCGCACAATGATGACGTCAGGCTCGGCCCAGGTGAAATAATTGAAAATGGTTTTCCACACTCCTTCGACTGGCCATTTTGACTGGTAGCCATTTTCGCTAGATTTTCACTTTGACTACATCTTCTCAATTTCAATTTTTTTCAGTGTTGAGCAGATGCTATGATTTCAACGATTCGTTAAAGGCGATTTTGCGACAAAGTGCGACAAAGTGCGACATAAGTGCTACAAAAGTGCTACAAAAGTGCTACAAAAGTGCTACAAAAGTGCTACAAAAGTGCTACAAAAGTGCTACAAAGTGAAGGCAATGAAAGCGCACCATCCGGTCAAGTACCTCGTGTGTTTCAGCGTGCTCATTCACCACACGACGACCCTGACGGGGCCAAATGTTTGCAGCAAACCTGAGTGGTGAGTCGAATCGCCTCTTTTTTTTTGGATTTTGCAAGACTTTCAGCATGAGACGATATCGTCCTTCACCGCCGTGTCACTGGTCTCTCCCAGGCATTCGAAAACGGTCACCGTCTCATACCTGCAGCCGTACCAGTACCAAGTCGTAGAGAACGGCAGAGTCGTATTTAAGACCGCCCAGAAGGTTGCTCAAAGGACCGAGGTGAGTCTCGATAGAAATTTGCATTTCGATTGCTGAAATCATCGCACTGAATTTGCACTTCAATTCGGCAGAAAAAGAAGGAGGTGGTGCAGGTTCGGATCTGCTGCGAAGGATATATAGCGACTCAGGGTGAATGCAAGCCTCGATGCGCCGACCCGTGCCAGCATGGGTATTGCATGGAGCCCGATAATTGCAGATGCCAGCCGGGCTGGATGGTATGTCGCCTCGAAAGTGATGCATCAAATATGATGCATTAATTATGATGCATTAATTATGATGCATTAATTATGATGCATCACATATGATGCATTAATTATGATGCATTAATTATGATGCATCAAATATGATGCATTAATTATGATGCATTAATTATGATGCATCAAATATGATGCATTAATTATGATGCATCAAATATGTCGCGGGAATGCGTGAATGTTGGGCGTTTTCTGGATGCAGGGAAAGCGGTGCGATGTTCCGTGTCCGCGGGACCGCTGGGGGCCTGGGTGCAAGAATCCCTGTGCCTGTTTAAATCGCGGAACTTGTTCGCGAGTCGATGGGACGTGCAGATGCCCCGCAGGATTGATGGTGATTCGCCTCAAACTCGCAAAAATTTTGATTCGTAAACAATTATCGAGAAATTTGAACTCACATCGCTGCCTTCTCCCTAAAGGGAGTATATTGTCAGATTCAATGTCCGGCGGGTCTTTGGGGACCTGGATGCGGTAACCGCTGCAATTGCCAAAATGCAATGGCAAATGCCACCTGCGATGCCAGAAATGGCAGATGCACCTGCCTCGCGGGCTGGATGGTATGATACCACTACTTTTTTTATTCGTGACAGCAATCTAATTTTAGTTGAACACATCCTGTTTTATCTTCTATTAATATATAGGGAGAGAATTGCGAGAAACCATGTCCAAATGACCGCTGGGGACCTGGATGTGTCAATTTCTGCGCCTGTCAGAATGGTATAAATTGCGATACTACTAGTGGTCACTGCTGGTGTCTACCTGGTTATACAGGAGAAAAGGTTTGCCGCCATTTCCTTCAATTCAACTACTCTTTTAGACTGGAATTCCTAATGCATTAATCAACGCCAATCCGAGATTTCGCGCTTTTGACCTTGCTGAAGCCCGAAGCAAGAGAGGCGTGCATTTAATCATATGGGCTGGGCGTGATCACGAGTGATTCGCCCAGACGGTAATTCCAGAAGTTACCGTCTCACGATGGTAATTTATGGAAATAGTATGGTATCACGTAGGGATTGGCTCTGACATGGTAACAACGTGTTTATGACTTACGGATTCCTTTCTGTTACGCTTCTGTTAACCTGCAATCGGAACCTGAAAAAATGGCAGGGGAAAATGTTCTATGATGAAGTAGACCTTCTGGCCTGATCATCGTCATTTACAAATCTCATTGTTTAATCTTCGTCTTCGTTAGTGTCAGATACGGTGTCCGCCTGATCGGTACGGTCAGAGTTGTCTCGGCGAGTGCAGATGTGAGAATGAAGGGACCTGCTCACACGTGGACGGCACCTGCACGTGCGAGGACGGGTGGACGGGTCCGCTGTGCAATGAACGTGCTTGCCCCGATCGCCACTTTGGACCCAACTGCTCTATGACGTGCGAGTGCGAACCTTCCGGCACGGAAGAGTGTCATCCGTGGAGAGGATGTTCGTGCAAGCCCGGTTGGGAGGGTCCCGCGTGTTCTGCGCCTTGTCGGAATGATACGTATGGGGAGAACTGCGAGGAGGCGTGTGAATGTAAAAATAATGCTTCGTGTCATCACGTGAATGGTTCATGCGCTTGTGCTCCTGGTTAGTCGATGCAATTCCGTCTCTGCTCTTGAGATGTGCACCAAGGGCGACGTCGTGTTTTCTGGTTCCTGTAGGCTACAGAGGCCCCCTGTGCGATGAGCAATGCCCGAAGGGAACGTTTGGAAAGGATTGCGGTTCCACATGCACATGCGAAAATGATGCCCTCTGCTCCCACGAGGACGGGAATTGCACCTGTAAAGGAGGTACAGAGAAGCCTTCACTATACGATATTTTCCACGCGATTTTGTTCATAATATGGGGAAAGGCTGCAGTCCGCAAGACTGGGAAATGCATTCTGTGAAATCAGAGGAAATATTTTTTTATTCTCTTGCAAATACAGTATATCCCTTCCACTTCAGATCACTTCTTGATCTGAAGTGGAACTTCGCATACCTCGTGCAAATAAGGATTGCCCGAAGGAAGGCTGCTTTATTTCGCGTTCATTTTTATATTGGCACAATCCTGATGATTCGGAGCCCTTTCGCAACATCTTGGAATAAATTCCGCGAGCGTTCATTCTCAGTTGTGATCGCGCTGAATCTCCCATTTTGCTGTAGGCTGGGAAGGCGAAAGTTGCAGCAGGGAATGCAAGGCAGGCAGTTTCGGTGAAAATTGCAAGAATGAATGTTCATGCCGGAATGGTGCCTGGTGCGATCCGGTCACAGGTGCCTGCACCTGCGCGCCTGGCTTCAAGGTGGATTGAGCTGTCTCCAGATTCTCATAGGATATCATAATAGTAATTAATTATTTATATTATTTATGTTTACTCTTTCTAGGGCGATCGATGTGAAGAAAAGTGTGACCATTTGAGATTCGGGATGAATTGCTCCCGAGCGTGCGATTGCGATTCGGGCTTCACCGAAAGCTGCGATCCAGTGACTGGCTCGTGCTCTTGCAGATCGGGATTCTATGGTGAATCTCATATATCATATCGTGATGGTATCATTTTAATTGCATTTTAGCCTCTGTGGATCCTCGTAGTAGGGGGCAGTTTCGCAAGTGGGGAAAAATGCATCGTTCCAAACATTCTGGCCGATTTGACGATAACGCTGCTGCGCGCGTCTGCAACAGCGACTGAGAAAATTGCTGCTTTTCCTTCGAACATCTCAGACAACTCTGAAATGATAATAAATAATAATATAGATATACGACATTGAAAATAAATCCCAACACGCGTTTGTCAACTGGCTTTCTAGTTTTGTAACCTGTGTATCATATTAACAACCTTCATTTTATTTACTTGAAGGTAAGATGATGCAGGATGATGTCCACTTCTTGATCCAACGATGCCAATTTTTAAGATTTTATCTTCGTTGGTTATTATTTTTATTATTATTTTAATCTCTAACTAAAGGGTTTCTGAAAAAAATGTATACACACTTGAATGAAAAGTATATATTAAGTAATTCAGAGTGGGACAATGTTTACTGCGACATGCACAGTACCTAACAGATGACAATGTGTAATGATCGCGTGTCATCAGGCAATTTTTTCCCACGAGACAGTGTGTCGTGCCAGATGACACAAGCTCACTTGACCTTAGAGAAATGTTAGTTGATTTTGAAGTGATTCTGGAAGTCTGAGAACGCATGTGAAATGCAGAGAAGGTGGAGGAATGAACTTGCAACTATGCCACCATGATGTACTAGAACTTTCAAGGATAAGGTTGATGCTGATGGTACAGTGCATGGTCTCCCAGAACATTTCTATTACGGTAATGCATAGTGTTCTGAAAGAGCTCAACAGTCAATTGTTAACAGAATTCTAACGGTGAACCGTTTGAACATCTGTGGCAGTGAACCATGCAATTCAAACCCTTGTTTATCCACACACTGAACATTGTACCTCTCTGAATTACTTACCATACATTTTTATTATTATTAAAGTGTGTATACATTTTTTTGAGACACCCTGTATATTTAAGAGAATGACCCTTGGCAAATACTGGTGACGGAGCCTCTCATTCTCCAGGTGCGAAGTGTCAGTCTCGATGCACACAAGGGCGCTTCGGCGAGGAATGCAACGAGCAATGCAAATGTGAGAACAACTTCACGTGCGACCCAGAAACGGAGAAATGCATCTGCGAGAGCGGATGGACGGGAGCCAACTGCGACGAACCCTGCCCTCCAGGCTCCTACGGGCGGAACTGCGAGCAGCGCTGCCCCGCCTGCCAAAACGGTAAGGAGGCTCTTTTCAGTGCAATATTATCTTTGCGACTCCATTTGGGGTCGCAAAGATAATATTTGGAGTCGCGAACCGGCAACTAAATGCAAAGTTACGTTTTTCTATGCGATTTTAGCGCATAGGGAGAGTCTGTCTAACTTCTAAGTGATTTTTGGGGGTCGCGCGTGAAAAAGGTTGGGATGCCCTGCTCTACAGGGTTGGTGAAAATCAGATATTGAACTGGATTTCGGATCTTCTGCACACGGTTGCGTGACCAGGATCTCCCCAAGGAGAAAGAGGAAAGGGGTAAGAGGAATAAGGGAGGGGCTAGTAACTTCTCCTTGGGTAGAGGGGGGAGCAACTATGATTCCATTTTTTTTCGTATTGCCTTGAAAATGATTGATTTTCACGAAAAGACTCCATATACTTTTGCATTCAGCATCGAAAGCGTTTACGAATGATACGCCACTCATCGAGATTGGTAGTGGCTCGGTCGTCCTTGGGAGAACTATACCTTTTTTTCCCCCGACCTGACAGGAACGTGTCACCACGTACACGGAGGATGCTCGTGTCGACCTGGCCGCACGGGTGAAAGCTGTGAGGAGGTTTGCCCACCAGGTCGATATGGCCTGTTTTGCCAGGGAAGATGCAACTGCAGTGACCGTGGCGACTGTCATCCGGTCACAGGTCGGTCTCATCGTATATGCTCGGTTTCATGCGCGGTTGCGCGGTTGCGTTTTGAACGGTGGTGTTTCGTAGGGGAATGCATCTGTCAAGCCGGCTGGATCGGGGAGGAATGCGAATCGCCGTGCCCGAGAGACACCTTCGGCCTTCGCTGTCTCCAGAACTGCAGCTGCCTGAATGGAGGCAGGTGCAAGGCGACGGACGGGGAATGCGAGTGTCGGCCCGGCTGGATGGGTCCCCGCTGCCTGGAGGGTAGGTGGTTCTCCATTGGTAGGTAGTTCTCCACTTACCTTTTCGGAGATTCTCCTGACGGGCTGATTCGTCCCTTGCCAGCCTGTCCCGAAGGATATTTTGGGGTCCGGTGCGAGAAGCCGTGCCATCCCGTCGATGGTTGCACCGGCAAGTCCGAGAACAAGGGTAAGCAGTGGCAAACCCTGGGATTTCCAGGACGAAAAAGGCTAGGGTAACTCACAAAGACGATGCTTTTTTTTTCGCGTCGGTTCAGGTCGAGAAAGTGAGATCCGCCGCTCCGACCCCGAGTCGAAGGGCTTCGGCGTTCTGTCGATAATCGGGATCGTGGGAATTTCGGTGACGACGCTCATCATCGTCCTGGTGGCTGGGCTCATATTCTCCATCAGGAAGGGATTTCGGCCCGTCAAGAATGGGCCGAGGAAAGTTCGGCCCTGCGTTTCTCCCTCTGGTGAGCGCTCTCGGGATTACTTCGAGTTTACGTGGTAATTGCCTCTTATTTATTTTTATGCAATTTTCTTCAGGTTTTCGCAGAAATCTGCCGCCTCCGCCCAAAAATGGGAATAGGTTTGGGGTCGATTATGTCAGGTCCAAATGGTCGGTCGAAGAGCCGACGGTTGGTGCAAGGGGCTCCAAGCGTCAAAATGGTGACAACTCTTTCGCAGACTTTTCTCCTTTATTTGTAAGTTTTTATTTTTCTGTGACTCTTCCGTTCGATTTAGAATCGCGGCGCTGCCGTCGTTTCGACGTGTTGCCTGTCGGGGACCGCAACGTGTTGCCTGTCGGGGACCGCGACGTGTTGCCTGTTGGGGACGGCGACGTGTGACCCCTGGCGTGTGGGTCATATGGCCTCTCGCTTTCCCGCGGAGATCGACCGACGCATTCGCGGGATTCCCGGTCGCCACAGTTCGTCGGTCGTCGGAGTCTGGGATTTTTTTTTTTCCACTCCGGGAATATATTATTCTCCACCTGCGTCCGTGGAGTTGATGCGCGCGAATAATACACTCCTTTGTGCGTGCCTTGGGCCTCGATGTCTATTCCCCTTTTCCCTTAAAAAAAATTGTTTCGCCGTCAGCATAATCAGAATCGGCCACTTTCACCCAGGAACGGCGAACTTATTGGCAAGCCAAATCGCCATTGTTCTGCTGAATAAATCTGCTGAATAAATATGCTGAATAAATCTGCTGAATGAATCTGCTGAATAAATCTGCTGAATGAATCTGATGAATAAATCGGATGAGTACATCTGATGAATAATCTGCTGAATGAATCTGCTGAATAAATCTGCTGAATAAATAAATGAGGTGCTATCGAGACCGAGCAATTGACTTGGCAAGTTCCGAATAGGAAATCAGTTGAGCGCCCATTCTTCAATTAGATTCTTCCTTTCCGGCCACTTAACGTTTCGCCGGCAGCAAGCGAGTGATCCTTGAAATGTATGAACTTGGGAATCTATTTACCTTGGACTATTAGTGGCATGGTTGACCCTGAATGGGATTTTCGTGGTGAGGCAACCTCCTTGGTTTCTCCGTAGCGGAAAGACGCAGCCGGACGTTCCGTTATCGCTTGCCTCCAGAGACATCCCTCTCTCCCTTGTGTCTATCTCTGTTCCGAGGAGGCCGTCCTCTGCCCTCATTCTTCCACGTCCTGATGAAGGCTGTTGATTTCTAAGGGCGGAAACCTCCTCGGAAGTCCCCTCGAAAGGAGGGAAGTCCCCTCGAAAGGAGGGAAGTCCCCTCGAAAGGAGGGAAGTCCCCTCGAAAGGAGGGAAGGGGAGGGTTTCACCTCGACAACGTACTTTTTGCTTCGAGACATTTAAACATCAATCGTCCCATCGCGAAGAGCTGCTTGCCTTGCGTGCCAACGCGTTCGATCTGCGATCTTGCCAGTCAGATGGTATGAAATTTTCTAAGGGAAATACCTTTACCACATTTATTTGCTTTCCACATTTCCTTTACCACATTTGTTTTCTCCTTACCTATTGGTGTCCCCGAGGTGAAGCCTTGAGGTCTTCCTGTTTTAACTCTGAGGGTCATTCAGTAAGTTCGCGCAATCGGTTTTGTTTTCGAGGCTTTCGCGATGATCGCGATTCATTTCGCGACTGGTGCACGTCCATGTACCGGTTAGATTTAAAAAAAAAAACCCTGAATCTTCGGTTCTTAAGGGTGGCGCACCTGGACGATGGAGTTTAGCGGCCCTGTTGGACCACAAGCGCCACCTATGTGACGCAAAGCAGGACTTGGAAATCTGAATAAATCTTGGATTTTCGTCCCCGATATAGGCACCGACGTGTTTGGAACGAGGCGTCGAATCATTGTTGGCCGAGTGTGGATTCAATGCATCACTGTTGTTACATCCTCGTTGATTCAACGCGGTGACCTTCATCATTTATGCACCCAGTTCATCATTTATGCACCCAGTTCATCATTTATGCACCCAGTTCATCATTTATGCACCCAGTTCATCATTTATGCACCCAGTTCATCATTTATGCTCCCAGTTCATCATTTATGCACCCAGTTGGCGCCAGCATTCGTTCAATGCCGGACCATTCACGGTCGAAGCATTTGCAGGAAAAGATTTCTTTAAAATGATTTCTCCATCTGTGTTTGCAATTAATTACTTCAGCCGATCCACGAGGAAATATTTGTTTGAAGAGGAACGTTCGATTTCGAGCAAATAAGACAGTGGCTGAAGGGCACTCGAATTTTGTCGCACCAATCAAGCAGAATTGCATTTTCGGCTGGCTTTTCAAAACCTTACTGTGTCAGACCTATTTCCCGAAATAGGCACCGACGTGTATATTGCGACGGCCCAGCCGGCACGACACCCGGTGAGTGGCCTGGCAGGACTGCCGGTATGCGAGGGAAGAGCTCTCTATGAGGCACCCAGGGAGACCACAGTGTATGCATGACCCGCTAGGTGTCACGCCTGACCTCTGACCCTTTACCCCAATCGAGAGACTGTTCTTAATAACCCTGTATATGTCTTTTATTCTTCACCACTTCTCTTTTCATTTCCGTCAGGCACTCACAAACTAGAGACAAAGTTATACTTACATTTTAATGCAGTAATTCGGCGTCCAGGCACCAAGAAATGATGGCTTGTACCACAAGATCGCACGCGCCTGAGGAGTGAGGTTCTCCCCCCTTTTTTCACGACTCACTTTAACCCTTTCGTAATCTTCCATTGATTGATTGGCCGAGGACTGTCATTTATCAATAAACCCTGATTTGTATCATCCCTGACCTATTGTGTTGCGATTCCCACCACCAGTAGAAGAAAACGCACGGAACCGTAACAATATATATATTATATATATGAATAGACACGAGCTAGATATATTCTAATTATGCTTGAACTGTCATGGCTGCTGAAATCTTTCCTATTTTGCTTACTGATGATGAGAAAGTGTTTTTCTGGGACGGCCTTGATGATACACAGTCTTCATGTAGCGTTTCCCATTTTTATTTTTTATTTATTGCTGCGTAACAGGATAATCTGAGTATGAATGCCTCCAACACTAATCGAAGTAATATAGATTATCCAAAGAAAGGACAGACTCGAGTGAAACGACTTCGTCGCGGCAGCATTGCTCAAATGTTAATTAAAAGAACGCATATTTATTTGATTAAAAGAACAGATGTCTGGCGAGACATCTGGCGAGAGACATGCGAACAAACAAGATTTCCTGACTGCGAAATGCGATGGCGACTAGTTGCCCAACATGGCTAGTTGCCATACACATGCAATCAGTACGCGTCTCTAGTACTTATGGAACAGTACTTGATACGCCTTGGAAGGAATTTGACTTCCTGGATTCATTCGACCAACGTGGAAACCCAACCAAACAGGACACGGGAAAGCATGCGAGGTCATATCAGTCCATTCGAATCCGAATCGTGATCGCTGCCGAATGGTGCGTGGAGTGAAAGGAATTTCTCATAGAGGGATTTTTCACCGACAAGATGGTGTGGGCTCATCAAGTCTGCGTCGGGAATGCCAGTTTTTCCCGCTTATTTTGAGAGGCGAGGCAAAAGACTGGCCTAAAAATGCGATGCATTCCGTTTTTCGCAATGGCGCCTGTTAGCCATGGCGAAATTCTTGAAGCAATGCCCTTGACTGTGCAATGTCACCATGTCGTATCTTTTCAACGGAAAATCCTGGCGTTAAAGGGTTTTTTCGAAAAGAAGGAAGAGACTCCACGGAACTGAGCCCACGATATGATAGGAAATTCCAACTACAATATTCACTTCTCTCTCCCGTACCAACGCTTAGAGCGTGACATGCCATCAAATTCAGGTCTTACCTTCTCACTTGAGGCCTAAAGAGACGACCCGATCGAGAATCCTCAAAATCTAAATTTAAATCTAAAATAATAATACAAAATAGATCTAGGCCTGACACCAAACAACCGATTGGGGAAACAGCATATATAATCATTTTTGCAGGTCCGCCACTCTCAAAGACTCAGACTCACCTTTGCAAGTGTGGCTACTTGCTCAGACCTGGATCGACCCGAGAAATTCCTCATAGTTGAGCAAAATATCCCCGTCGTTCTTGCCAAAACGTAGTCTGCCTGCACTCCAGCATGGCGCGGGGGCGGGTCTGGTGTGACGTGACGTCACGTGACGTCACGAGCTGTGACGTCACGTGAAAAAGCCTTATTGAAAACACGAAATACCTTGGAATTGAATTCCAACCAACCCTCACCTTCACCAACCATGTGACAAGAAAGAAGCAAAAAGCACTTAGTGTTATTGGAAGCCTCACACACATATCGAAACTTTCAGTGGAAGCGGCCTTAGTTCTCCCATATCTCCGACAAACCTGACCTCTGTATAACAACCTGACCATTCTGCTGTTATCATTATTCTTTTCACTGTATTCTTCAAGCTGTGACTCTTGGTCGCGAATAAATGCTGTTCTCAAAACACGAAATAAAGTTCTCGTTCCATGTTAATAAGTTGTCGGGGTTGATTACGTCCTTGCCCGTGCCTTGAACCATGTTCCAGGAATATGTCTACATGAAAATACGTCTTCACAATACTGCACAATTCACTTCGTAATATCCGTAATATCCCACTTCGTAATATCCTATTCCAGGCATTAATCCCCCCCCCCCCCCCCCATCCCTTCCCTGTAGCGTTGAAGTTGCAGTCCAAAGTAATTGGCGCATGCGCGCGCATTGCTATGAACACGAGTCGCTTGACAGGGACGCTTCCCTCGAAGCCGCGGTGTTCGACTATGGCTGGCACGTCTGGAATTTCCAGTATGTTGTGGGACTGGAGAACGTGATTAGGCTTAGTTTAGGCTTCGTCGTGGTCCTTTGGCTTTCGAAGTGCTTCATTTGAGGCTAAGTGATCGTTTGGGGCTCATTCGGGAATGATTATTGCTGCGGGATCCCGTGGGGGCCTGGATGGGTCTTTGCCTGCGTTTGGTCACGGGTTCAGACATTTAGTCTAGTTGTCATAGTTTATAGTTCTAATAATACACTGTTTCAGGATTGAATCCGTACTACCCACCTATAGTGGAGAAGGGAGGAGCCACACTTTTCCAGAGGTTCCATTTCGTCGGTTGATTGACGTAACCACCCTTGTTTAAGATGTCACTTACCTGCAATCGGTGCTAGCGCATAGGGTACGAATTCCATCTGGAAACAGTGTATAGTTAACATTTCCACAATAGTTCCTCCGTGACTGAGTGCCTTCGGTTTCCTATGCGATGACTCGAGATCGAACAGTTGTAGTTCCTTTAAGCGTACTCTTCTTGTAGGCCTCATATCAGGCCCACCATATATATATGTGTTTTTAAAGTTAGGCCTACCGTGCAAGAAG